ATACTAAAAACATCAACGTCCTTTGGAGTTGAGACTACCCTCCATTTGTGTGCTAGATTGGCCACTGGTTTGATCTACGAGAAATATTTTACTATTGTTTTACATGAAACGATTGTGTGATTATTGTATACATTATGTACAATGTAAATCGATGTTCATGAGTCAGGTCTCTTAGACTGATGGGTACATGTACTTCGGTTTATTTGGTTAACCAAATAAACCAAACCGATATATTTTGGCTAATAAGGTTTGGTGGCTAGTTTGTGTGGTTATTTTGGTTGTCTTTCTCCAAAATCAAAATTATTAAAAACCGAATAAACTGAACCGTATAAACCATATTAACCGAACGCCCAGCCCTAATTCTCGGTATATATCTAATACATTTTTCTAATAGTTGTCAAATACAAGATTAATATTTATTGAATACTCCCTCCGTCCACGAATAAGTGTACATCTAGCTTTTGTTTCAAGTCAAAGATTTAAAATTTTGACCAACTTTATAGAAAAGAATAGTAGCATATATGACATCAAATTGATATATTATGAAAGTACATTTCAAAACGAATCTAGCGATACTAATTTAGTGTCATAAATGCTGCTACATTTTTCTATAAAATTGGTCAAAGTTTTAAAACTTTGACTTAGGACAAAACCTAGATGTACATTTATTCATGGACGGAGGGAGTACATGGTCAACATTTTTACTATAAACATTTAACATTTTTCAAATGCTTGAGTAACATTTTTCAGATAACATATCTACATTTTTAATACATGATCAACATTTATTTAGAATATTCAAAAGTATAAACGAAAGTTAAAAATTGAAAACAAAAAATATGCCAGGAAGAGCTTATAAGTGTATTTCAACAACAACAACAAAGCCTTTAGTATCAACAAGTTGGGGTAGGCTAGAGGTGGAACCCATAAGATCTCGCGACCAACGATAACAAAGCTTATGAGTGTATTAGTTACAGCTAATTTAGCATCTAGATTAAATCAAAATGACAGGAAGGTCTTCGTGCATGTCCTCAATTTTAATTATTTTTGGTCCATCAAGTAGTTGGTGGAATGAATGATGTATGGCAATATAATCATTATTATGCTCTTATAATCTGCTGCGTGCTACTACTTCGGACAAGAAGTGGAAATTCTGCTGTGTGCTACTACTTCGGAGAAGAAGTGGAAATTTTACACAATGCCTGTGTGTTTAACTTATTTTTTTCTTTTAATAAAATAGTACTATATGTTTCCTCTTTAAAGCAGATTAATATGTGCTGTTATGTTATGCTTCAAATTCAAGTACATAAAGAAAGGTTAACTTCTGACGAGCGACCGGTACGAGGCACATCGCCGGTAGGCCTGTCACTTGCTGAAATCTTAAAAAAAAATCTATATTTGGAAACTGAGGGAGTAGTTGGCGCGAGCCCGTGTGCGAAGGTGAAAACTTTGGCGCGCATTCTCTTCTGTGCGTGTGCCTGAACGAAAGAGGAAGAGAAGAAGAAGAAGAAAAGAACACCCAATCTCATCTTCCCCTTCCAGTGACAAACAACTATTCCCAAATTATGGAGGAACGTGACTCTTCTATTACTCATATACGTCGTAGTGGCAATAATGCTAGTCATTCCATGGCAAACTTTGGTAGGGCGGCTTCTACTCTGTTCGTTTCTTCAAGGAGAACAATTCATCCCCCCTTTGGCCCCCGCGTCGCTTCGCTCGGGGCGACTCGGGTGGCGACAAAAACCCTAACCGTCGGCCCCCCGTTCCCCTCCTCCTGCCCCCTCGCCGCCGCCCGAGGAGGCCTCCGGCGAAGCCCGCGTGGTCGCCCAGGACGGCGGCGGTGAGGATCTGGCTGCTTCGCTCCTCGCGGAGGGCTCAGGGCGCCGAGGCAGCGGCCTCGGGTGGTGCGGCGGCGCCGTTTCTGCGGCGAGCGGCGTCGCGGGTGTTGCCCCTCGTCTTCTTGGTCGCGAGGGCGGCGAGTGACGGCGGGCGCTGACGCCGGTCGCAGCGGGGGCGCGGCCCCCCTGTTCGCGCCTGGACCTGAAGGCAGCTTCCACTCCCCCTCAGCGTGCTCCTCCTCGCCGGATCTGGTCGCCGGCGGCCTCTGGACGCCGGATCCGTGGCTGGTGGGGTTGCTTGGAGCTGCGGAGCTGGACCGGGAGAAATCCTTGGCTGGTTCTCCGGCCACGGCATCGGCGACACAGGCAGGTGCCGTTTTCCTCCTCGGAGGCTTTGTCGAGGTTCGTTCCCTCTCCCTCCTGCTCCATGACCCGGGTGAAAACCCTTGTCTTCTCAAAGACTGGACGGCAACGGCGCAACGTGCGTCGCCACCTTCTTGAAGGTGTCGTCTTGGGCATGGTAGGAGTGTGCAGAGTGCTGTGAGGTGGGTGTCGGGTTGGCTGCGTCAGCAGCGAGGGAGGTGAAGCTTGGTGCTCTGTTTATGTAGCAGTGATGCTCTGCTTTGGCTTGCTCGCCGGATCCTTACTTGCTTGCTCGCCGGTTGGCGCCATTCTTGGGCAGGGAGGGGATAGGGCTCCTCTCTTCTGCTAGCAGCAACTTGATGCGGTGGCTTGAGCATGGAGCCTATCCATTCGGGCTTGATCTGCTTCCTGTAAGGTTGCTTCATCTTACCCGCTGTTCGTTTGTTCAGTGTCAGTGCCTTTGTGCAGTTTTCCCCCTTGGTGGTTGTAGCGGTGACCTGCGGTGTGGCAATTCGTCTGATTCCTCGTGCAGCGCTGTGTCGGGTTGAGAATCTCCCATGGTGCCCGGCATCGTGTCCTATCCTAGCTCTAGGGTGAGCTTCTCCATATTCCAGCGGTCCGGCGCCTTTCGAGCCAAGGCGAGGGGCAGGGGACCCCTCTGGATTTGGAGAGGAGTGGATCGAACAAGGTGTCACCTTTCGGTGTAGATGAGGACGTGACCATCGCTGGACTTTGTCTCAGTATGAAGAACCCCTCCGGTTTGCTCAGCTTGATCTACTTCACTTGGTGGACGCCATCGACTTCTAGCTAGTGCTTAATTTGCTTATCCCTATAGGGCTTAGTCTTTGGTGCTTGTAAGCTGCTTCGGCAACACTATGTATCTGCTGCTTTTTTCTGTTCTTGTTTGCGGCTTTTCGCAGTTGTTTAGTGGTTGTTACGATGGCCTTGTGTAATCCCTGGCCGGTTGATGGCTTTGTTAATTCAAAGTCGGGCTCCCCCTTGAGCCTTCGTTCTAAAAAAACTTTGGTAGGGCTAATGGCCGAACTATAGTTTGGTTAGGGTCCGGCCAGAGGAAGTCCTTAATGTTGCTTTACGAGATTGTACTCCCTAATTTTTGAGTAATAAAGAATTATTTCGCAAAAAAAAAAACCATTCCCAAATCCCTAGCCGCCGTCCAATCGACCAGGTTCCCCGCCTTCTTCCTCCCATGTCGCGACCCGGATAAGAGGAAGGAGGTCACGCGCCCAGCACGCAGATTCAGATTTATTGCCAGTTCGTTTTGATTGTAATCTTGGCGTATCTTAACCAGTTCGGTTGTTCCTCCCGCCTTCACGGCTTCGCCAATGCCCGCCTCTTCTCCGTCTCCCGTGGGCAACGACGACGGGCCGTCGCTGACCGCGTCGGCGATCGTCGCTCCAGCCGTGTCCGGGTCGCACGTCGTCAAGGTAGACGGCTACTCCCGCACCAAGGGGCTTGGCAACGGCAAACGCATCAACTCCGAGACTTTCACCATCGGAGGCCACCGATGGTGTGTGCACTACTACCCTGACGGCGTTGTCTCAGACGACGCCGATTGGATATCCATTTTCCTGTTCTCTGACCGAAGTGATGGTACTGAAGTCAAAGCAGAGTTCAAGATAAGTTTGCTTGACCAAGATAGGCAGCCAGTGCCGCAGTACAGTTTCAGCGCCCTGATACGCACCTTCTCCAGCAAAGAAGCTGCATGGGGCTTCGGTCATTTCATCAAAAGAAAAGACTTGGATGAATCCCCTTACCTCAAGGATGATGTTTTCAGCATCAGGTCCGATGTCACCGTGTTAAAGGAGATCTTCACCGAGCCAATCCTGCCGTCTATGGTGGTGCCGGTGCCACCGTCCGACATGCACCAGCATTTTGGACAGCTGCTCTTGGCCGGCGAGGTGGCCGATGTCACTTTCGAGGTCGGTGCGGAGACATTCGCTGCACACAGGTGCATACTCGCAGCTCGGTCGTCGGTCTTCAAGGCGGAGCTGCTTGGTACCATGAAGGAGAAGACCGCAACTCACATACGTATCGACGATATGGAACCCAAGGTGTTCAAGGCTTTACTCCACTTCATCTACACCGACTCGCTGCCCGTGATGAACGAGGGCGATGAGGCAGCGTTTGCTCAGCATTTGCTGGTAGCGGCAGACAGGTATGACATGGAAAGGCTGAAGGTGATCTGCGAGGGGAAGCTGTGCGATCACATCTGCAAGAGCACGGCGGCGACAACGCTGGCACTGGCTGAGCAGCATGGTTGTGGTGCTCTGAAGAAGGCGTGCTTCAAGTTCCTGATGTCTCCAGGTAACCTGAAGGCAGTCATGGCGTCTGATGGATACGAGCACCTGAGGAGCAGTTGCCCAGGTGTTATGGACGAACTGGTGGCCATGCTTGCTCCTTGACCTCTTTGAGTTTAAACTCACCAGATCTGGTTATTTATCCTGCTATTTCTATTTTCAGAAGTGATGATATCCCACTACTGTAAAAAAACAAGGGTACTAGCATTGATGCATCTGTTTGAGCTCAGTTGTCATTTCTAGACATCTGAAAACGGTGAAAATCTTCTGTTTAATCTGAAGACATCATTTTCCGAGTTCTGAAAAACTAGAGGGGATTCTAGAAATCCTAAGGAAAAACCTCAATTTTAAGTTAGCAGCTTGTACAATCTATTCTAGTTAGAGTTTTAAATTTACGGTGGTTACAACATGGTGCATGTTGTTTAATTCAAATGTGAAGTCATAGTTCGTAATTGCACTGCTTCAATCAGAATCGTCCAGAGTTCTTTTTTGCAAAAGAATTGTCCGGAGTTGACATGCTTGCTGCTAGAATAAATAGAGGGTAATAAGATTACAGTCAAAAAACTGGTGATGAATCATTACAGTTATCTTCACTCAGCTGATCCATCTGGTCCCAGAACTTTGCATTTGGGAACGTCCAGAAAAATCTTGCTTCGAGAAATAACGTCCAGGAAAGCTTGATGCTCTATCTTTGTCAAACTAAATCTGCAAGATAATGCTTTCTTGTTGGACTGGTGATAGAGGTGTAAGAAGTAAACCTATGCAAAACAATCTTCAGTGGTACTTGGCTTGATGACGCAGGTAGTTTTTCTGTACTGACTGAACTATACTTCGCAGTGTATCAACAAGTAATTCTGTAGAGTTTTAGAATGTTGTGAAGATACATGTAGATTGCTAATGAGGATGTTCATTGCTGTCCAGGTTCCGAATTCCCACCAGCACTGCCGTGAGCCCGCAACACCCACAGACTCCAAAAGCTTTTTATTATACCCTTCAAAAACCCCAACTAAACATCAGGTCATAAATAGCTCCGCCCCTCATGGACTGTGCCGGCTGGTTCATATGTTTCTTTCGAAAAGGAAGATAACATCCCCGACTGGTTCCTATAGGAATATACTGATAGACCTTGCGGATCGAGTCCTGCTCTGCTCCCCTTCGACGACGGTGGCGCTGTTGCCTCCCCTTCGCCGGTGACACGTTTCCCTTAGCGGAAGCGCGCCGCCGTCGAACGGCGTGGCTGCTGTGCTCTTTGCCCTGGTCGGGGTGGAGTTCTTCTTCTCGAATCCTCGGCATGCCGATGCGATCCGAGATCGAGAGGAACGGCGTGGCCGTGCGGCGGCGCTACTTTTCAGATTTCTTTTCCCTCTTTTCTCTGTTAGGATTAGGGTTCTTGAGGAGGGGGGATCTTTCCATCTCTGTTTTTCTTTGTACCGAAGATCCTATAACCAAACCTGTTTGATACCATTGATAGACCTTGCGGATCGAGTAGGTCAGATAATTGGTGGTCATACCTTCTGCTTGTGGCTCGAGGAGCCCCCGGAGCCGGCCATGATGCCGGTGATGGCAGAGAGTAGTGGTGGCGGTGATTCCCGTCAGCACTGCACTAACCCTAGATCGGTAGGGGACTAGGTGGGATGTACGGCGCTGCGACGAACCTCGTGAGCCGCTGTCCCCCACCTTTTTATATAGTGCATGTGACAGGGGCCCGTCACCCATAGTGGGCTGAGCGCCCTCGATCAGGACGTGGATCTAAGGGCCCGGTGGACCGTTGGGCCCACACGGTGGAGATCATCCTAACATATACATGTATAACAAGATGGCGACTAGCTAGCTAGATGCAGATCATACTTAAATTAATGCACGGCAACTTCGTCGAGCTACTTAATAAAGTGATCAGCATAAGAAATTCAGCCGGACAGCATACGTTAACATTGCATTACTGCTAACCATGTGCATATATACTGTCCATTGAGAGATTAAGGGGTGAGTTTTGTTCAGATTGACCATTGAGTGAGAGGCTGAGAGCTAGCCAATTGCAGATGGGTCTCTCGACCGCTGTGGATTGGTGGGAGGAGTGGCAGCTGCGAATTCTCGTCATCTGCAGCCAATGTGTTCAATGGCTCCTCTACTTCTCCGCCCGCCGGCGTAAGTCTGCCGTCTCTGCCTCCTTCCGACTTTTGATATGGTTAGCATACATAGGCAGCGACGCGGTGGCGATATATGCTCTCGCCGCCCTGTTCAATCGTCACAGGAAGCCGGAAAATTCCAGCTTCACACATGGCAAAAGCGTCCTAGAGGTGGTGTGGGCGCCGGTCCTTCTGATGCACCTGGGCGGACAGGACGGCATAACCGCCTACAACATGGAAGACAACGAGCTATGGAAGCGGCACGTCCTCACGGCCGTCTCTCAGATCACAGTGTCAATCTATGTGTTCTGTAAATCATGGCAGGGCGGCGACAAGAAGTTGTTGCAGGCAGCTATCATGCTCTTCACCCTCGGGGGCATCAGATGCTTAGAGAAGCCATATGCTCTTAGGAGTGCTAGCATTAATAGCCTAGTCAGCGCTTCTGACACTACGACACAAATGGACCATGAGGAATACAGCCGCGGTTAAAGAAAGAGGTAAAAGCACCCTAGGTATCCTAACTTGCACAGAATGTGATGTTTTAGTTTTAGTCCTAAATTTACAAAGTGCAACTTCATCATACCCCAACTTGCAGTGGATGTGATGATTTAGTCCCCGGCCTATCATAGCTCGACAAGTGGCAGCAAGGTGGTTGGACCGGTCATCCCCGCACTTTTTGCAAATAACACCTTGCAGTCTTCTCTAATTAACCCGCAGTATAACCTTTTCAGGAGGGAGCATGGAGGTGGTAAATACCGAAATGGATGTGTGGAAAATGAGCCCACTGATGCATGCAGACGATCGGTGATAAATACACAAAGTATTGAACAAATCAAAGATTGAACCCGGTCGGATCAAAATGTGTGTTGAGAAATAGAGAAGATGAAGTTAATTACATTCTTGGCAGCTGCGCTGAAAGCCTCCCTGTGGGTGATGTCCGGATTGTTGGCCTTGATACGCTGAATCTCGTCTCTGCATACGTACATTGGAAATCATGCATCATGCATACGAATTTTGCCAGAGAGAAGATTCAAGCTAAAACGGGGAACTAGAATGAACCACTGATCACTCACTTGATGAATCGGCTATATGCCGAGGGAACTCTCTGCCGCTTCTCTGGATCTGCAGAAAATCACGGCAAGCAGCATGAAATTAAGGACATAAACTTGGCAGCTCCAACACGGATCAAGGAGAAAAATCAGACAAGTACAACCTGTTGGCCGTTTGGTACTCCTACAGTCGTATATATGCGGAACCTACAGAACTGATTATGTTTCTCATTCCTAATGCCCTCTGCATTTATTTAGTTTAGTTCTCCTATGCCTATAGTATCACACACTGTGCATATGTTAACGTTGGAGTTTGGGGAAAAAATTCCTCCACGGACAAAAGGTACTATTGGGCCCGGGAGCAAATTATTCAACAGGTCTCTTCCACTCGAAAACTCCATTGACCGTCCAGAAAGAATCCTTAAAAGAGAGACAGCACGCATAAAGAGGGAGCCAACGACCCAAAGAGATGTATACTGCTCGAATTTGGTTAGCAGTACAGCGTGCACTGCTCGTTCAACACGAGCGGTATATGTAATTTGAGTGCAATTTGGGGATATTAATTTTCAGTCAATCAGACAGATTAAGGCTACCCTTTTCATCTGGTTTCGCCGTCCGCATGCATCCTCTTCTTCCGCAAGCCCATCTCCCGTCCCTTCATCGGGCAGCTTGGCTCGTAGACCAGGCGCTCGGCATCATGCCATAGGTCTCGCCGACGTCTCACCGTTGTGGCATTGTCCTCTTCCTTGCTAGGCCATATGTGAAGCAATGGCTTATGCTGCTCATGGTGGCCTGGTTCATGGCGGTGGTGGCGAAACCACCGGACACCACTGGCGAACTGTCCGCCATTGACAAGAAGGTCGTACAGAAATACGTAATTCTCGCCGCGGCTCCCAGGCAGCAGGGTGTAGACGACAAAGGCTCACGGTCATGGACAGTTTAGTGTTCACCTTTGTAGAGTTGGCCATATCCAATGCAAATTCATGTTTTAAATTGTATATTGGTTCAAGCTGTTGCCTATTCCAGTGATGGCTCGGTTATTTCCTAGCATCTGAAGAAAGTTTTAACGTCACTCAGTTTCTAAGATGCAATCATACTAGATACAGCCAAGCATGGATAACTGAACTTCTATTCTATAACAAGGCAGCAGACGGTCGAGGCCTGCCGCAAGGTCACGGGTGCGCGAGCCTGAAGGTCTACAAGAGGAGCATGGCGAGAGTTAGATGGACGAAGCGAACTAACGCAACGACATCGGCAGCAAGAGCGGCCGAGGGCAGTTGGACGACCGGTTGGGCGTGCAATATTGAGGACGGCGCGTTGGAGTAGAGGTGGAGCTTGGCTGCCTAGGGCGACGGCGGGAGGTGAGATTGCCCTGCAGCAGCGTTTCCTCTCGACAGCAATGACAGATACAAACAAATAGTTTGTTAATTAGAGAAGACTTCAGGGTGTTATTTGCAAAAGTGCAGGCGCTGACCAGTCCAACCACCTGGCTGCCACTTGTTGAGCTATGATAGACCGGTGACTAAATCATCACATCCACTTCAAGTTGAGGTATGGTGGAGTTGCATTTTGCAAGTTTAGAACTAAAACATCAGTGCAAGTTAGGGTACCTGGAGTCCTTTTACCTCCTAAAGAAATGGGTATGGGCTCTTCAGGTAGTAGGATCAGGATGCGGTGAAGACCTTGGGTGGAGCATGAAGAGACCGTTTGATGAGAGTGTCCTTCTCGCACATCGCAGCGGACTTGTGCTTCTATAAAATGGGTATCATGCATGAGGCAGACGCGGAGTAATTGCGCTCAAGCTCAAATGAGCTCGTTATCTACGTCGTCAGTTAGCGCTCGTGGATCTGTGCCAGAGTTCTATACGCGCGCAGGCGGTTCGCGAGAAAATCGAGCGCTGTAGCGAAATACGTATGCGGCAGCGCTGGGT